CATCACCTGAGGAATGGATGAAAAAGATGTGGTATTTTTATGCAATGGAGTATTACTCAGCTATAAAGAATGATAAACTCGAAGCATTTATATTTAAGTGGATGCCACTGGAAGATATACTTATAAGTGAAATAAACCAGACACACATGTGTAAGTATCGTATAGTTTCCCTAGTATCAGAACTCAAAAGAAGAAATACAAATAGAAAGGTATAATACAATTAAAAGGAAAGCAACAATTTGAGGACTAGACAATGAAGAGAGAGCAAGGAGAAGAGCTAGGAAACATGACAGAGGCTAGCCATACAGTTATATGTAAAAGATGAGTAAGGCAATGATCCTGAGAATCTTCAGAAGATCTTCGAATCTAGCAGTTAATTGGAAGGATTCTTACCCTGACTAACTATATATACTGACACCTGTGAACTAAGCAACTGCACTGAAGATGGCAATTTGTAATAGTAAGTTCATTCTTGGAGTGCCAGTCATTCTGGTCTTCTGAATATGTGCTGCTTATCATGACATGCTAGTTGCTGCCGTGCTGTCTCTCGGGTAGATGATTGTTTAAAAAGGAAGGAGGTGGTGAATGAAGGCAGGAGACAGGAAAAGGAGTGTTGTGGGACTGTCCTGCTACAATGTTGTATATGGTTAGATTTCTGGACTGATGTGTAAACATATATAATTCTTTATTCCTATTTTTTAAATATATTTTAATTTTTTTGTCATATTCTGTAGGGACTTAAAGTTTAACATATCAATACTTGATGAAAAATAACTGCTCCATGTTATGCCTAAGATGTTTGATATTCAGACAGATAGTGAGATTAAGCTCAACAGCCTAGGTTATATGGTAATAACAATAAGCTTCTCTTCTGGAGGGTTAACAACCTAAGTTTGCAGACCAAAAATCAGAGACAAAGGAGAGCCACCAGGAAAGCCAACATTTTTTCCCTAGCCTTCCAAGGTCATTTATACTCAGGACATATGAGAACTTATACTATAACATCATGTAAGTCAGTTGTGTCCCAAATTTTCTGATCAAGATTGTGGGACCAAAGGAGAAAGTGATCGATGATGTCACATGGGGAGCCTAAGGAGAGTCACATGGGGAGAAAACATTCTCTCAGGCTTTCACAGAGAGCAAATTGGCCAAGCAATGGTTGTGACTCATCTACATGGCTGACACTGACAAAGGATCTACAACCTGAGGTACAGGATCTCAGGATAAATCCTGAGGAGATTTGACTGAACTTATCAGATCCAAAAGCTACAATTCTTGTTACATAGGTCTTGTTTTATCTTGGTCTTAACCATCCAGCGGAAAAGTATAAAAACGAACTATATGAAGTAAAGCCATGCTGTTATGTTGAACTGTAGGGGACTTAGGTCAACAACTTCTGATATTGCCAGTCAAGTGGAAGACCCAATACTATTATGGACTACTGGACTATTTTGGAATATTTTGCTGAGTTCACACACCTATAATATTTAAATGAGGGAACTAAACAAAAAAAGATACAGATGAATGTCCATTTTGTATCTGTGTATTCAAAATGGTTAGGGTAGATATATAACTACAGTCTCTTAATTCAATGAATAGAGGGATTTGTTCTAATAGTGTTTGTAAATAGGATATATGTCTGCATCTTGTACAACAAATAATCACTAGGAAGAGAGCATGCAGTGTGTTAATCATTGAAACTGTTCCATTGCTATTTGTTTCTCAATAAAATTATGGAAAAAAATTGTGCTGCTTATTTCCAGAAAGGAGCAGTAAAGTATGGAAAGACTGAGGTAAAGGAGATAGGCAGAGACACAAAGAAAACTCAATGTATAAATGCTATTGTTTTAAAATAAATCACAGAAGGGAAATTAGCTAAAGAATTAAAAGTGCATAAACATGGGACAAAAAGATCTTTGATTGCTGCTGTCTTGTTAGTGAATGTCATATAAGAAAGTAACCTTAAAATATAAGCAGCTTCCAATTGGTATTACCAGTATTAAAATCAGACCATAAGTGTCTTACATGTGCCGATCTAAGATCTGGATCAAGAGTCATAGCTTGGATTGCATAGTTCAAATGTATGTGTAATACTGAAGAGTGTGTTCAGTGTGTTTCCACCGTAGAGCCTGAGAGTCCGCTGTCTCATTTGTGATTGATAGCTGCCTTTCCAATTACTTTGAATTTTGTACATAAACTTTTTATGAAATAAAATATTTTTGAATTGAAAAAATTAAGATTAAGTAAATTTTATGGACCTTTTATATTTTAAAATGATGAAAATCATTACTGTTATTCAATTTTTATAGCAGAATACCTAAATCTGGCATAACAGTTGTTCTATATGAAGATGATTTGATAACTGCTGGTTCAGATCATTTATGTTAAACTTCTTTAAGTTTCTGTTAGACACTTTGGTCTGCGGTTTACCAAGGTCCTAACTGCTGAATTTTTTTTTTTTTTTTTTTTTTTTTTTTTTACCATACAACATAGATGGGAAAAAAATCAAAGCTGACCAAGGGGCAGTCAAAACAATAAAACAGAACCTATATGGATTAAACTTGTTTAAATGGTAAAGACTTCTCTTTTCTGTTCATTACCCTGGAAATAAATTGCTGGAAAGTCAAAGATGTCAGAAATAGAACCTCAGAAATACAATCCTTCTTTTGGAAGAAGTCTGCAAAACCGAGAGAAACATTCAGTTTTCTTAGAGTAAAAGTTACTCAATCCAGCTTCCCAAACTATATCCAGGACAGCAATGAAACTAGAAGTAAACATTTAAAATGAGCAGTCACTGCCTCTCTCCCTCAGACCAAAACAAATACTAACAAACAAAACAGCGGTCTTCTGTTTCATCATATCCAGTACTTGGCCCGGTGCCTGGCACAAAGAGTTTTAAAACTCAATTTTTAAAAATACTCAAATAAATACTTTGAAAATTATGAATGGCTAAGAGGCAGCAGTAGAATTCTGTATTACATCATTTTGTAGGAAGCCACTCTACTTCCTTTTTCCCTTCTTGCCACTCATAGCCCACTTAAACCCTGACTGCACTCTGTGGCATTCCCACAGGGGCAAGAATCATCCTCCTTTTCACTGACTCATCGTGACTCCAGCTGGAGTCCAGCTTCTGCAACTGTCTCAGCTGCCAGTCATCTCTTCTACACTAGCCTTAGATGTCCCTTCTAGTATAACCACGATGACCTTTAAAATCTCACATGACTGTATTCAACAAAATCGTCCTGTGATATTTTAAATATAATGAAATAGTAGGAGATCATTTTCATCATAGAAATGCTCATACAAAAAAAAAAGTTCAAGGGCTGGCGAGATAGCAGACTAAAGAACTTGCTTAGGTAGAACGCAGCAGCCAGGTTCAATCCCTGGCATGCCATGCTGGCCTGGCTCATTGGGCCCGCTGAGAGGGTGACTGAGTCTAGGTGTGGTGGTACACATGTGTGATCCCAGCACTTAGGAGGCTGGAAACAGGATCATTACGAGTACAGTCTGTGTAATGAGACCCTAAAGACCTGTACTAAATACTTTAAAAAACAAAAAAGTTCACTTCAAGCTAGGCATGGTAGTACATTTGTGTAATCCTGGCACTCTGAGAGGCTGAGACAGGAGGATCAAAAATTTGATGCCAGCCTGGCCAATTTAACAGAGTACTATCTAAAAAAAAAAAAAAAAAAAAGACCTGCGGGTATAGCTCAGTACAGAGACTTTGGGTTCAATCTCTAATACAGAAAAGAAAAACATTGCTGACTTCATGATTTTGGTCACACAGTACTTGTACCGTACCATCATCCTTAGGTATATCCTGTTTTGCAGTGTCACACTGAGGCTTTCTTCTTGACAACAGTATATTTTAAGTAAAATAGATATTAATGGTCCTGTCATAGGAAAAGTGAAAGACATTTATTGAGCAGATATATTACTATATACCAGATACTGTGCAAGTATGTATTCTCATAAATCCTCACAACAACCCTGTGAGGTAGGTAATCATCCCCATTTTACACACAAGAAATTTCTTTTCTGGTGATGTAGTTTGCATCTCATAGCATGCTTGACTTTTTCTATTAACATAAATTTACATTTTTTTACTTTTAGCTTCCCTAATTGTGGAGATTTTGGTAGTTGCATATCAGAGAAGCTTATTTGCACTTTACAAATATTAATTTAATGAAGTGTCTCATAAAACATCAAGGGATGATCTCAAGTTAGAAGTTGGTGGCCTATATCAGATTATTTTCTTATCTAGCTCTTGTTCATAACCATTTTAGCTAAGATTTTTCACTCCCTTGTTTCTTGTTTAACATACTCAGAATATTTTCATCTCTGATTGAATATTCTCAAGAGTTAACAAGAATCAGGAAGCAGAGTTGATGAGCAATACGTGTTGCATGCTACTAATCATGAAATGATTCCTCCAGCTTCTAATTAAAAGTAATATCAGCCAGCTAAGGAATTGTGTGTTTCCACAGTACTGGCATGTTGAGGCAGAAGGATCATAAGTTCAAGCCCATTCTAGGAACCTTAGGAGAGCATATTTCAAAATAAAAAAGGCTGAGGACAGAGCCCAATGCAAAATCCCTGAGATCAATTCCAAGTTCCACAAATACGTAAGAAGAGAACCAAACAAGAATCACCAGTCTCAGCATTAGATAAAAATGTAATATGCTGTCTGTATCCAAAAGGAAACTCAGTTTTATATTTTATAGTTCCCCAGCTCTACATAAAGGGACAACTTGGGCCAGCCAAATAGCTCAGCGAATTAAAGCACCTGCAAGCAGGCACAGGGGCCTGGGTTTCGATCCCCAGGCCTGCTACGCTGGCCCTGCCCTCGGGACACACTGAGACAGCAATTGAGACTGGGTGTGGTGGCGCACACCTGTAGTCCCAGCTCTTGGAAGGCTGTAAACAGGCAGATCACTAGGAATCCAATCTAGTAGTGAGACCCTAAACACCCTGTAGACCCTTCCCTAAAAAAAAAAAAAAAAAAAAAACACACACACACACACAAAGGGACAACTGAAGAACTTTATGTTCCTGCCACATAAAGGGGACCAGACTTCCCCTCGAAGGAGATCTTTCTCCATACTTATACTCCTGAGCCAGCAGGACCTTGAATTTTGTTGATGAATTCCTTTGTGTGGATTTGTGTACATTTCATTTGAGTTCCTTTGAGCCTTCTAATTACATGTTTAAAGACATTTTTCAGCAGTAAACTAGCCTGGGGTAGGAGGAAAGAGTCTACCCCAACAAACTGCAGATTTTTAAAACTACCTTCTTAACGGCTTCCACATTACTTTTGCCCAAGTTCTCCAGGCATGGACAGTGCTCTGAGACAGAGCTTTTCTTGCTTCTGAGATTCAGGTGCATAGCGCCGCGTCTAGCATCATTTCAGCTTTCTAGGGAAATGTGAAGAAGGTCCGTGATCTCTGTCCCTTTTTTCCCTTCAGGCCCCACCAGAAAGTCCATTTTCTGTTCTTGGAGAGATTGATTCGGTAATGATCACCTGTAAAAATGCATCTTGCTGACAGTCTTCAAAGGATGCTGTAGCAGTAGGAGAGGCTCTCCACGCTGATGCCAGCCACCGCCGCGTACAGCTCAGGCACCACTAGCTCTGGCACTTGCAGCACAGCCTTGTCATCTGCAGTCTTAGCAGCAGCTTCAATGCGGGAGCACAGCTCTTCTGGGGAGGGCCGGGAGTCCTCACTCCAGCGCCAACAGGACTTCATAATGTTGTACCTGTGAATGGGTTGAGGGAGACAGTGGAGAGCACGGCTTCTCTGCTAACAAACATTAATAGTAACAAAAAGTTTTAAATATTTTATTTGACCTTTTTGTGTGTGTGTTTTTCCCAGGGACTGACATTCCTTTTCATCCTTTTTATATGATAGTCTCTTAATAACATCTTCCTGGTGTGACCTCTTTAAACTAGAAATGATCAGATTTTTCAAACTACAGAGAAGGTGGACTGGGGAGATAGCTGGGCAGTCTAAGCGCCTGGATGGCAAGCGCAAGGACCTGGGTTCAACCTGTGGTACCACGTGCTGTGTTGGGCACATAGTGCAGGCCACCGAAACTGGGCGTGGTGGCACATACCTATAATCCCAGTGCTGTGGAGGCTGAGACAGGAGGATCACTACAAGTCCAAGCTGCATGGCAAGACCTTGTACCAAATCAATAAAAGTTTAAAAAGCAAACTACGGAGAAGGTGATAAGATTATTGTTCCCTATACATTGTAAGCAACATACACTGAAGTTGTAGGGCTAGTGCTAGACCTGTATCTTGGGTCTGGGGAGATGGCTCAGTAGAATAAGCGCTTCCCTGACAAGTACAAGGGCCTGAGTTCAATCCCCAGTTCCGCCAAAAAATAAAATAAAAATAAAATAAACTTCTATCTCTTTCCCTCTGTGATGGAGCTCTGACTCATTCTACTGTATGCCAATTTCATGTTGTTTCAGATATCTATTTACCAAACTCTTAAATTCTTTAAGGCCAGGCCATTTGTCACTGAAGTGTTTCCTCCAGTATGAAAGACAAGCTCATAGACATAGAAAGTCTGGGAAAAATGCTTGCTGAAGTTTCATAAGCTAAATAAACCTTTCCTTCCTTCATTTTGAGTGTTGGGTATTTGTCCCAGCAACGAGACAAGAGTAACTGAGACAGTATCTAATACATGAACAACATGTTTCACCCTGCGGGCTTTGTCTAAGGCTGTGCACTAGGGAATAAGGACAGCTAAGGCTCATCTGGGCCATTTTGAAAGGTGTATGTTTTTTAATCCAATTACGTTTTTGTATCACAGGAAAGCAGACCTTTAAAAGCCACTTACATGGTATGTGTGCAGCTACTGGGCCTCTGCATGATTTTCCCTCTCTGCAGATACTGTAGAATGCTGGTAGGAGGGACTTCTGGATAGGGTGGTGCCCCTGGCAATATGGAAAGAAAAGGAGCAAGAGAACTTCAGAGCTCTGTAATGTGTGCACTGCAAATAACTCTGCCCTCCAGTAACTTGGGCCAATCACCTGCAAAGGATCTAGCAATAGGAAGAATACTAGATACAACATAGTTCCCCCATGTTGATCAAGTAAGGATTAAGTTTGGTAAATTTAGAAGAATTTTTAGTCTTTAGAAAATAATAAAATAAGACAAAGCAGACTTCTACTATTCATAACTTAGGAAAGTGCTGCAGTTTCTTAGTTGAGTGGATTAATATAAGTCTAAAATATTTTATGTTACAGAAAAATCACTCTGGAACTTATGCTTTGTATTCGAAAACATCCCCTGAAAGTTGATATTGTTTGGATGAAAAAAAGATAAAAGAGGAAGACAGTGAAAGAAAGTTAAGAGAAAGAGGATAGAGCAAGCAAGGTAGAGAGGGCCTGTTCTGAAATACTTTCTCAAATAAAATATCATCTATCCTCCCCCCTTGTGGGGATCATCCTTACCGAGAGTCACCATCTCATAGAGCAGAATCCCAAAGGACCAGCTGAAAAAGAAACAAATCCATCTACTTAATGTCTGTTTTTCCTTTTCTGAACAGAGGTCAAATATCAGAAGCCATCAAGAACCACCAAAAAGAAGCTAATGAAAGAGAATCAAAGAGATATGACAAAAATACTTGAAAGTATTTCTTTCCAGTTCCTTTAGATTCTAAACTCTTTGAAGATCAGATCTGTGTCTTTTTCTGTATTTCACATTAATAGATGTTTACATGTGTGAATGCAAATGCAGGCCATTTGCCCAAATGGAGAAAGTTCTCTCTCCATCTTTTATTCTTTCCCATCCTTCTATGCTAAAATGTCAGCCTTTATTCTCAACACAGGGCCAAGCGAGATTTATCTTTTATTCACCATTTTCTCAGTAGATCTATTTGCTCAAATCTAAGAAAAATGTCAACAGACATTTTGGATATTTGTTACAGGGTCTCACTACGCAGTTTAGACTCATAGTGATCCTCCTGTCTCAGCCTCCCCAGTTCTGAGGCCACAAGAATGTGCCACCACACCCAATTTCGGGGCCAGCTGGGCATGTGGTACCAGGGATCGAATTCAGGAGCTTGCTTTTGCCAGGCAGACGCTTGGACTGCCAAGCTATTGCCCCAGCCCTATGTTTACGTTTTAACTTAAAATAAATTATTTGAGGTATGTATGTTCTGTTTGCTTTAGTTTGTTTTATTTTGCTTAATTGGTCTTACATGGACATATACCCTTGAGGACAACTAGATTCAATCCTCAGATATGGCTGTGAATAATGTTTTAATTTTCCTTTTTTATTCCCAGTGAAGTCTGCTAATTTAGTCCAGAAGGAAAAGCACTATTAAGAGGATTGTCAAACATAAATTCTATCACATTAGCATTTCTGCTTAAGAGTAAGCCTGACTTCCAAGGAGAGAGAGATTTCATTTGCAAATCCCACAAAATCATATTCAGAGGGTACATCCAAGTCATGAAGGGAAGAAATGTAGAGGCCAGGAACAAACCGTACATGTCTCCTTTGAAGCCAGCAGTTCTCAAGAGAAGACGCTCTGGAGCGAGCCACTTGAGAGGTACGGTTCGAGTAGCGGAGAAGGCCCCTTGCGCATGGACTTCATAGGCCAAGCCTAGTCCACAGAGCTTAGCAGTCAGATCCTTTTGGATCAAGATATTTCTGGCTGCCACATCTCCATGGAACAGCTGCTTATCCTGCAGGAATTCCTGGCAGCACAGGATCACAAATAATCAGCTGCCTGAAGGTCAAAGTCCCACTCACAGATAAGAGAAATAGTTCTAGGACACCTCAAAACGATCAGAGAATGTTCTACTCCCAACAAGGCTCATTAGATAGCACTTTCAAAGCATGTTAACAGAACAGACATTTTTGCCTTATATATAATATTAGCAAACTGAGTAAATAATATGAATGACAGTATTAAATGTTGATTTATTTGTTTTTGCAGTGCTAAGGACTGAACCCAGGCCCTCATACGTAGTAGGCAAACATTGTACCACTGAGCTACATCAAGATACATGGAGAAGCTGAGATTTTATGCATGACTGAAGAGCTAGAAATTGAGGGCTCAATAACTGAACAAATATAGAAAAATGAAAAGGTTAAAGTGATAATTTCCATTCATTGATGAAAGAGACAGTGACTAGCAGTTTTCTGTCTCTTGAGGTTTTAGAATCATTAAATTATACTGTAATGAGAAGACAAGGAATATACTGACTTAAAAGTTATTAAAAATAAATACTATAATATAGCCTTAGTACAAGTAATTCAGGGCATTGACTTACAAATCAGTTCATCCCTATAGGTACCTTTGCAATTATGGTGGTGCACAATGTGTAATCCCAGCACTTGAGAGGCTGAGGCAGGAGGATCACCACAAGTTTGAGCCCAGCCTGGGCTACATAGTGAAATCTTGCCTCAAGAAAAAGACAATGCAGGGCTGGGGAAATAGCTCAGTAGGATAAGTGCTTGCCTGGCAAGTACAGGGTCCTGAGTTCAATCCCTGGTACCGCAAAAAAGTAAAAAAAGAAAAAAGACATGGTAAGCTGGCATCTGACACCCTCCTTATCAAGGGGACATAAGTAACAGGTAAATATTATAGCCACTGCAGATAAGAATCACTTATATGAAACGTCCTCTCCCTTGTTGCATAAGAGCTTTAACTGTAACTATTGTTTTTCTCTAACCTTAATTTTTTTTAATTCTAAAATTTTCTTTAAAAAATAAATAAAAAATAAAATTTTCTGACTTGATTTAGAGTGCTGGATTATTTCACACATTAAGGTGTGAAAAGATATATCAAATAGTTAAAATAGTAGCTTCACTAAGCCTAAATTCTTCTATAGCAAATGCTAATTTTGAACACAGCTTTTGAATAACTGCCTAGAAATACTCATCTAAATTTCCTTAATTAATTTGATTAAATTAATTCCTTTAAAAAAATAAATTTCCTTAGTAATTCTGGTAAAGGTAAATTATTTTTCTTAATCTTAGAGTTCAGTTACCTCCTCAAATTAGCTTAACATAAAAAATAATCCCACTGCTGCCTCTTCTCATTTTTCTTCTTCCACTCATATTTTTTTTAAGTAGAAATACACCCTATCAGACTTCTTATTATCAAAGCAAGTCTCCAATCAAACATGTTCTGAACTTGTTTGCCTTGTTTTTCAGGCATAAATTTGTAAACTTTTGGTGCCTTAAACTTTAATTCATTCAGTTTCATTCCCACATCTTCTCTTAATTTGTTTCCCTATTTTCCTCTGTTGTGTCTATATGGGGACATAAGAGAATCAAGCCGAACCTTTGCCCAGGTTTTTAAATTTAAGACTGAGTAAAAAATTTCTAATTTTTACTGTTTTCTTCTATAAACTCCAACTACCTTCTGCCTTTAATTTCTAATCCTGTATTATCTAACTGTTTTAACATTTAAATTTAAATGATTGTTTTAGAAAGGTCTAAAATAATATCAGTACTTCAATGACTATCCCCTGACTTCTAATTTTTTTTTTTTTTTTTGCAGAACTGGGGATTGTACTCAGGCCCTTGTGCTTGCCAGGCAAGCGCTGATTCTACTGAGCCATCTCCCCGGCCCCTCTAATTTATTAAAAATGTATGTAAAATATATAATTTATTTAGTACTATGAATATGGAAATTTCATGCCTCAAGTGCTAAACTAATAAGAAAAAATTCCACCATCTGTTGCCGAAATTTACCAGAGCCAGAAGGACCTGCTTTCCAATGTGATAGACTTGTTTTTCTGTGAGATCATAAAGAAGACCATCCATGGTCATCACATCCTAAACAGAGAAAAAAACACTGTATAAAATATATTCTAATTTTTTAAATGTTTTTTATCATATTCTGTAGGGATTTAAAGTTCAACATATCAATACTTGATGAAAAATACCTGTTCCATATTATGCCCAAGATGTTTGATATGCAGACAGATAGTGAGGTTAGGCTTAACAGCCTAAGTTGTAAGGTAATAACAATAAGCTTGTCTTCTGGAGGGTTAACAACCTAAGTTTGCAGACCAAAATTAGAGAAAAGGGAGGGCTACAAGGAAAGCCAACATTTTGGCCCTAGCCTTCTAAGGTCAATTAAAACTCAGGACATATGAGAACTTGTACTGTAACGTCATGTAACTCAGTAGTGTCCCAAATTTTCTGATCAAGGAGATTATGGGGCCAAAGAGGAAAGTGATAGATGACGTAGAGTGTGCCTAAGGAGAGTCACATGGAGAGAAAACATTCTCTCAAGCTTTCACAGAGAGAACACTGTATCAAAGAGGCATTAACAGGTGATTTTAAAAAGTATGGCAGATACACTTTGAAATGCAGGTATCAATGCCAAGAAAAACTATACAAACACATAAGGAACAAGAGTCAAAGAGAAATGGTGCACCTGTATAATCCCACCACTCAGGAGGCTGAGGCAGGAGGATTAGTGTGAGTTGGAGGCCAGCCTGAGCTACCCAGTAAATTTAAGGTCACCCCAAACTACATAGTAAGACTCTGTCTCAAAAAAAACAAACAAAAACACCAAAAAAGCATCCAAAAGTAACTGATATGAAAGATTTTGAAATATTTAGGAACATGTAGATGTGTAGGTCTTTGGACTAGAAGAATAACAAAGAATGAAGATGAATAACAGATAAGAAATTATGTAGAAGACTATCCCCTGAATGAAGTGGCAGTTTTTCTGGAACAGGGTGTGTGTGTGTGTGTGTGTGTGTGTGTGTGTGTGTGTGTGCGTGCCCGCACATAGTTAATTTAATACATGGACACAATATATCTTTATTAAAGGCTCATACTCCAGTTTCACAGGAGTGAGCAAAATTAACATAGCTGCTGCTGTGATTCTTCGTGGCAGATATGCATGAATTAGAATCAAGTTGTCAGTAAATAAGCAAATGGCTGCATCTCTCTGAGGTGCCAAGGAGGAAGTGTACAGTAAAAAGAGAGCATGGGATAGTGGAGTGAAAAGAGCAGATTCTGCTTAAGAGACCAAGAAAGCTTTTGATGACATCTGCAGAATGAGTGCCCACAGCAGCAAGGAAGAGGAAGAAGAAGTCTGAAGGATTAAGAAAAGTGTATGAAGATGGTCCACAATACAGAGGCATGGTAGTTGTATAAAATGGAAAGAAAGAAAGAAAGAAAGAAAGAAAGGAAGAGTAGAGAATAAGTCATAGATAAAATGCCTAAAGACCTGCACATTGTCCTATTTGTATCACTGGACAAAAGACATGAGCATGGCCCCTTTTCATATATATTTGGTTGTGCAATAAAAATTAGCATATTGTGGAAGTTCAATTAATACTGAATTTGCTCACTAACAAGAGAAAAAGTTGAAAAACAAGTAGCTCTCCAGAAAAGGTAATAGAGAAATAAGGAAGTTGTAAGGGACAGGACTTCCGCTTGAGATGGAAGTTTCTAAACATTTTTAGGAATATGAGGTAGGGGTACACAAATTCACAAGCTGAATTTGTTCCTCATCAGCCTTGGCATATGAGGGAAATGTTACTCAATGGAAGATGCACTTAACAGTAACAATAAAAGAAATACAAGCATTCTAATAATAGTTACATTACATAATTATTGCAACAGCTATCATTTTGAGGACTTCTAAGTTTTAATCACTGCTATGTTTTTATACATAGAGTTTTTTGCCTTTTTGTAATAATGTGTTATGACTTTCACTTTAAATTTAAAAATTTCAAAATCAGAGATGTAAAACCAAAAATGACAGAGCTAGTAGAGATGAGAACTCATACTCTAAATTTCCACTACCTGGTACTGTTGTTATTTGCCTCATGTCTGTTTACACTTACATTATTTAAAATTAAATAAAATTTAAAATTCAATTTCTCAATCACATACACCACATTTCAAGTGTTTAATTGCCACATGTAACCAGTGGATCGGGTAGGTGTGGAACTTTCCTATCATTATAATTATTCTATTGAACAATGATACTCAAAGTACCCTGTTATACTACTATATTCTCTCTTAGATTTTGTTATTTGTGATGCTAATTGACATGCGAACAGCCAATCAACCAGTCCAGTCTTTCCCTCCTAACATTTGTACCCTACTGCTCACCCGGCGACAGGTCCAAAGAAAGCTGAGCAGGTTCCCTTGGGCCACATCTTCCAACAGCATATAGAGGGGCAGCCTTTCTGTGCAGCAGCCTTCCAGGTGGACCAGGTTCTGATGTTTCCCCAGGTACTGATGGAACTGGATTCGCCCCATGAAGTACTGTACCTCCTGGAGCCCAGCTGGTTCTGCAAAAGAAGAAGAGCTGGGGTAGTGGGCAGCTTCAGATGGTAATACCCATGGCCTCAGAGGAGAGGAAGTGCAAACAAAAAGTAACATAAAGATTAATTGGAAGAAAATAGTATTCAAAGTCACTGGCCTTTTAACAAGAGTCACAGAATCATAGACCTTAAGCTGAATAAGGGTTCCTCTCCCTAAATAGAAAAATGTTCTGTTCACATTGAAATATTATCACTGTCTAGGCCTTTTGGTTAATATCCTTGCTTGTCTTTGTTCTGTTTTAGTGGGAGAGAAACAGAAAGAGAGAAATTAGGAAAGCGAAACAGTAAAAAAAAAAAAATCGCAGAATCTTATTCAAAATTTGCAACGCTCATTAACAGTTACTGTAAAGGGATTACTGGGAAAAAGTAAAAAGAAGTAAAAGGTCTGGCCCTTTTCATCTTACCTTTTAAAGCCTTGAGAACAACACTCTTGGGCTTAGGAGGGTCCCCAGTGATCATAGTGGTTCGATAGATGTTCCCACAACTGCCCTTATGGATTTGCTCCAGAACTTCAGAGACTTGATCCCTGGGTACCTGTAGCTTCGCTAGGGAAGGTGTGGTAGCCCGTAGGAAACTTTCCACAGATGTCTCCGTAAGTGGCATGACAACTTTCCCTGTGGGTTCTGCTGCTTTCCGGGTTTGACCCCTGGATACGGGCATGGATGCAACGCCTAAAACAAAAAGGTGATATGAACCAGTCCTGGATTCTATAGAAGAAGAGAGCCTATTAAAAAAATAGCCAAGAAGGTCCTTCAGCAATTTTGTCTCTAGCCAATGTAAGGATGTCTGTCTATAGTTCTCTCTGTATAAGTGGTCAATACCAAACTTGTGGAGCCTTTCTAATAATCCCCATTACTTCTTGGAGGACTCAAGATGCACCCCTAGAAAGCAATCATGGCATCTCCTTTCTGTCTTACTCAGGATTGCAAGTGAGTATTCCCCATGAGTGTGCTATACAGAAACAAGGAAGTTCCTGAGTAGGTGCCAAACCACGTATGTCTAAAAATGGTCTGACTACCAGTGTGGACCCGCATTTATGTCCATCACACGGCTTCTCCACTTGAAAGAAAAGTTTGCATATCCCCTCAACCACCAGCTGTGGTTATTCTTCCTGCCTTGAGTTATTGTAAGAGTCAAATTATTTCATATTCCCTCAGGGAAAAAAACTTGCTAGTGAGAGTATATATATATATATATATATTAATGTTTGAGGCAGTGAATCTTTCGGAGTGAAGTTAAAAAGCAGCATCAATGATGCTATTTTCTGATAGCATCAGAACTCCCAAGAAGAAGCTTTCTGATACAAAGATATTTGAAGAACTGGAAAAAATTAGGGAGCAAACCATGCTGGTATCAGGGAGACTATTCTAGACAAAGGGAGCAAGATGTACAATGGCACTAAGAAAAAAAGCATACATGATATATTTGAAGAAGCTCATACTTGATATATTTAGAGCCTAGTGAATCATGGGAGGGTTGTAGGAGATAAAGCCAGAGAGGCCTGGATCACATAAGACTCTGGGAAGAATTTTGTCTTACTTCATTCTGAGCAGGAGGAAGGTAGCCTACTGGAGGTGGAGGACTCAGCAGGGACCCAAAAGGTGAATGAATATCTAGGGGAAAACTTTGTAACAGATAGGGTAGGAACCAAGTAGGCAAAGAATTTAGGGGTAGGTGAGAAGCAAGAGTGACTTGGGTATATTATTTATGGTTTTGCTAATGAGCTGGACCCAGGCTATGAGAAAAGAGGAGAATCAAGGATATCTTCAAAGGTTTTGGCTGAAAATCATTTCTTGAGGCAGAGAAGATGGCCCAAGGAAGAGAGTTGAAAGGGAATTTCAACACCCTTGTTTTAGACATATTGCAGATGAGATGTGTATTATATTGAATCTGCAAAAACAGGTCTTTTAATGTAAGAATCTAGTTTCAGCAACCAAGATCATAATTAAAAAAGTAATTAAATGCAAAGGGATGAAAACTATATCATTTGTAAATCTTTTTCAAAATAATGTTCCAGAGCTGGGCATGGTAGGACACACCTGTAAGCCAAGCACTCAGGAGGCTGAGGCAGGAGGAGGACCATGAGTTCAAGGCCAGCCTGAGCTATACAGTGAGTCCAGACCAGCCTGAACTGCATAATGAGACCCTGGGTCCAAAAAACCAAAAAGTTCCCAGAAAACAGAAGTGCAAAATTGTTTCTAATGCTTTTTACAGGTCAAGTAAGATGAGAACTAAGAAATGATCATCAGACTGATGAACACAGCAGTTTACTGAGCTTGGAAAGAGCTGTTTGGGTGGAGTGGAAGATATATGAGCCTTACTGTATTGAGTTGAAAAAAAGAATGTGAAGAGAAGTAACAAGAATAAGGTGTGTGTGTGTGTGTGTGTGTGTGTGTGTGTGTGTGTTTGTGTGTGTATTACGTACAAGGTCTCACTATGTAGATCAGACTCGGAGCGATTCTTCTGTTTTCAGCCTCCCAAGTGCTGCAATTACAGGTGTGTACCACCACGCCCAGTCTCAATCGCCCTCTCAGGGCACCCCTGGGGTGGGGCCAGCATGGCATGCTAGGAATCAAACCCTGGCTGCTGTGCTCTGCCTAAGCAGGTGCTTTAGTCCTCTGAGCTATCTGGACAGCCCAAGCATGAGGGGTTGTTTTGTTTTGTTTTGTTTTGTTTTGTTTTGTTTTGTTTTGTTTGGCAGAGCTGGGGATTGAACTCAGGCCCTTGCACTTGCCAGGCATGCACTTATTCAACTGAGCTATCTCCCCAGCCCCACCAAGCATGAGTTTAAACAATTTCTTTGAGAGGTTTTCCAGAAAAGTGAAAAAAAAAATTATAATTTTACTGAGAAACGAATAGCAAAGAGACAGTTTCAAAACCAATTACTAGCACAGTTTCACTAATTAATACATTGCACATTGTTGCCTTGTTGGTTATTAATTGTACAAGATGCCGACATGATATACTGTCCACAAACACTACTAGAAAAAATCTCTCTATTCAATGATCCAAGAGTATGCAGCTGTGTATCTATCTTAACTATTTTGAACATACAGATACAAAATGGTCATTCATTTGTTTTTTTTGTTTTTTTTTATTTTTTTAAATTTTATTTTTTTATTTATGTGTGTGTGTGTGTGTGTGTGTGTGTGTGTGGCCAGCTCAGCCCACCAGGGGGCGGGGCTGGCTGGCATGTGGTGCTGGGGGATTGAACCGCGGTCCCTGTGATTTGCTAAGCTTGTTCTAAGTAGGTGCTTTAGACCACTGAGCCATCTCACCAGCCCTGGTCATTCATTTGTATCCCTCTTTTTTGTTTAGTTTTGTCAGAAAAGGGTATTCCATTGTCATTTAAATATTGTAGGTGCCTGAATTCAGCAAAATATTCCAATATTGTCCAGTAGTCCATAATAGTAGTGGGTTTTCCATAAGACTGGCGAAGATAGAAGTTGTTGACTTGGTAGGGGGGATGGCTCAGTGGAATAAATGCTTGCCTGGCAAGTGCCAGGGCCTGAGCTCAATCCTCTGTTCAAAAAAAAAAAAAAAAAAGTTGTTGACTTGAGCTTTTTATAGCTCAGCGTATTAATATGGCTTTACCATCTATACTCCATTCCCACACTTCTCTGCTAGATGGTCAAGACCAAGACAAAGCAAGACCTATATAACAAGTAATGTAACTTTTGTATCTGATAAGGTCAGTCAAATCCCTTCAGGATTTATCCTGAAACCCTGTACCACAGTTTGTAGATTCTTTGTGAGTGTCAGCCATGTGGATGAGTCATGGCCATTGCTTGACCAATGTGCTCTCTGTGGAAGCCTGAGAGAATGTTTTCTCTCCATGTGACTCTCCTTAGGCACACTCTACATCATCGATCAAGACAAGTGAAATATAAAAGAATTGACATTGGGGCCGGCCAAATAGCTCAGCGGATTAAAGTGCCTGCAAGCCAGCACAGGGGCCAGGGGTTCAGTCCCTGGGCATGACGAGCCAGCCCCACCCCTAGGGCGCTCTGATACTGCAATTGAGACTGGGTGTGGTGGCGCAAGCCTGCAATCCCAGCACTTGGGTGGCTGTAAACAGGAGAATCAGTACAAGTCCGATCTAGAAGTGAAAAATTCAAAAACAAGCAATAAGGAATGAAAAGGGTGTAATCACCACCTTTCACAGAGAGCACCAATAGCGGCTCCTACCTAACACCTCAAGACTAGCCTGAAGATCACTCCTTCTCATATTCTCCTCATATACTTTGGAGAAGGTAGCAATGGGAAGTAAGGCAGAGTACAATCTTATCCTCCAAAGATGGCAACAAACCCTTGGGTTTTCTCTTTTAGGTTTTTTCTTGATTCTTAGGCCTTACTATGGTCAAGGATTTCGGAGCAGGGCAAAGAGGACAGAAGAGGTCATATGCAGTCCCTCTTGCCTGCTTTTCTGTCACTCAGCAAACGTAAGTGGTGGTCCAGCCCAGGACCTCTGGAGAAGGGTCTCACTTCTAATTCCACAGCAGGAAACTCATACTTCTCCTGTTTCAGCCACTGAGATTCCTGGACCTGCCATTGAAATTTGGCTCACAGTTTTCCTATGTGTCTGCTCTGAGCCTCTGCCTAACCCAATGTTTGACCTTTACCTTGGAGTCTAGGGCGCTGACGTTGAGATCTTTGTCCTCTTATAAATAACCACAAGATGACAGCAAGAAGGACGAGGAAGGCACCAACCAGCAGAGTTGGGACAATGACCACCGCATACTGCTCTCCCTGGACAACTGAGGAGGCAAATGGGAAGGGAAGAGAATTACGGAGCGTGACCTGATGCTGTACACTCCCTCTGCCCACCATCTTCATCCCATCATATGCAGAATGTCACCTCCTCTGCCTTCCCCCTAGTAGAAACCCATGTCCCTTGTTCTTATCCCATCAAGTGTACACTGTGCCTGTTCTATCGGTTTTTCCCCCAAGTTAGAGGCTGCAGCATCAGGATCTCTAACTGGCACTTACCCCCGGTGCCCAAAGACAATGGCCTCTGGTCCCATTCTCTTTTCATCATGGTCTTCTCATGTCTGACAGAAATCAAATCATCTGCCTTCTAGTATTTATTCAGACCCTAGTCTCCTTAACCATAAAACCAGAAGCTAGGCATTTGCGATATCCGTACTTACGACACATCTTGTCATTGAGACTGCACTCTAGGAGCACCCGTGCGGTGCCTCTCTTCTCCCTCATTGCCACGGTGCTTCTCGCTTCTCTATCCTGGGCTCACAGAAACAGCACAGACCATGAGCATCACTGTGAGTGGTTCCCAACACCTGAGGAATGCTGGAAGAAAATGGAGTATGCATGGAGTTAAAAATAGATCACTACCCAGCAGCATGTGGCACACATTATAATCCCTGCACTCGGGAGGCTGAGGAAGGATTGTGGGCTACATAGTGAGTTCAAGGCCAGCCTAAACTATTTAGCAAGGCTTATATATCACTAAGGTTTATATATCACTAAGTTAATATAGCTAGCTCTCTCAGTCACCCATTTACCTTTATCTATTTGCCTGATACAGTGAAAGAAACTTATTTTCCCCTCTGGTACTCTCTTGTCTATTGTATAGCTTTACAGCCCTCATCTGGTCTTGTCCTCTCATTGCATTTCTGCTGAATTTATTTTATTTATTTTTATGTATTTGGTACAGGGTGTACAGGGTCTTACTACATAGATTGAACTCATAGTGATCCTCCTGTTTTCAGCCTCCCAAGTGCTGGGATTACAGGCATGCGCCACATGCCCGTGCCCTTCATGGTCTCAGCGTGCCCTGGGGGCAGGGATGGCATGGCACACTGGGGATAGAAACCCTGGCCACTGCACTCTGCCTCAGCAGGTGCTTTAGTCCACTGAGCTATCTGGCTGGCCCTGAATTTATTTTAGATCTTCCTCTTCTTCCCTAAACTTCTGCTACCAAGCTAACAAGTAGATACACAAGATCTGCCTGAATAATTGTTCACCACGGGCTCTGGCAATAAGCTTTACCTCCCGTACAGTCATTAGGTATGTCAGACTATCTCAGCTGGTGGCTGCCCACTCCTCAGATAGACACACCCGAGAGGAAGTGGATCCAAAGCTCAGGATGGGTCAGGGCGGCTTCTGGGAATTCGCGCAGAACACAGCATGGAGAAGGAAGGCGCTGGTGTTTTAATCACAATGATGTAGTCACTGTTATTATTAGTAACTAGGGCCTTTGTGCTGAGCTACATCCCCAGCCCTTTTTTATTTTTTGAGACAGGGTCTAATTAAGTCACTATGCTGACCAGGCTGGGCTTAATCTTGTGAACCTACTGCCTCATCCTCTCAGAGTGCTAAGATTACAACTGCCCATTATACCCAGCTACTAATATTCAAGATAGGGAAAAAATGGAAAATGCTGAATTATCCTTTCAATAAAGCAGCTGAATCATCGTTTCAATAAAGCAGCACATTGCCAAAGAATCTAATAAAGAAATCATTCAGAAAAAAAACTGTGAAGCCCTAAACACTGCAATAAAACTTTGATTAAAACTGTTTTGGAAGGAGCCACAGAGATGGCTCAGTAGAATAAGTGTTTGCCTGGCAAGCGCAAGGGCCTGAGTTCAATCCCTGGTTCTGCAAAAAAGAAAAAAGCTATTTTGGAATTTTCTTCTAATAATTTTATTGAGAAACAAATAGCAATGAGACAGTTTCAAACCAAATTGGTAGGACAGTTGCAATAATTAACACATTGCATACATTCTTCCTAGTGGTTAATTGCTGTACAAGATGCGGACTTGATATCCTATTTACAAACACCATTAGAACAAATCCCTCTATTCAAGAGAATGTAACTATATATCTATTCTAACCATTTTGAATACACAGATACAAAATGGACATTCATCTGTGTTCCCTTTTTTTATTTAGTTCCGTTATTTGAATATTATAGGTGTGTTAACTCAGCAAAATATTCAAAAAGGGTCCAGTAGTCCATAATACTATTGGGTCTTCTGCTTCACTGGCTATGTCAGTGTTTTGGAATTTTTTAAAAAAAAATCATCATAGCTATACAACACATTTTTTAAATTTTTAAGGAAAGACTTTAAATATATTCTTACTATTGCCTATTTTGCAAAGGACTGGGTTTCACATGTGTATATGTTGATCATATTTATCCTCTTGATTATTGTTCCTTATATCCCCTGTCATTCCTTAGAGCTCCCCTTTTCTCCTTCTTGTCTAAGTCTCCCTTCTATTTTCTAGCCACCTTTATTAGATAAAATGATAACGGTACTTAGTCTTTTGAGAAACCCCCTTACTGATTTTTTTTTCTTACTGATTTTCATGGTGGCAGTAATGATTTATGTTCCCTGTGTAGAGTTCATTTTTTTCATGTTCAGTATTTTGGCATTCTTTATACAGTCAATCTTCTGCCAGGAAAGTAACCAGTAAAGCTGTTCCCCCATTCTGTAAGCTCTCTTGGTACTTTACCTGGCTGGGCAGAAACCTTTGAATGTGATGTCATCCCATGTGTTAATTCTTCCTATTATTCCCTATGCTGGTGGAGTCCCATGCAGGAAGGCTTTGCCTGTGCTTTCGTTCAGTGGGTTCAAAGTTTCCAGTCTTAGGCCAGTGTTGTCAACCCATGTTGAATTGATTTTTATACAGTATGAGAGCTAAGGATCTATGATTTGACAGACAACTGTACCAGCACCGTCTGTTAAAGAGCCTGTCTGTGCTCAAATACATGTTTTTGACTCCTTTGTCAAGAATAAGGTGGCTATATTCCATGGATTTGTTTCTATGTCTTCTATTCTGTTCTATTGGTTTACCTGCCAATATTCATGCCAGCTCTATGCTGTTTTCATTGCAATAGTGTGGTAGTGTAATTGAATTTTTTTTATTTAAACATAGGATCCTCAGGACACAAAACAGCACACTCTTGGCTGGCTCTTTTTGCTTAGGATTGCTTGGGCTGATCTGAGTCTTTTTGTCTGTCTTTATAATACTGGAATTGTTTTTTCTAGTTTTTGTGAAGAATGTTCCTGGGATTATAATGGGGATTGCACTGAATCTGTAGATCATTTTCATAATATGGGTTTTTAACAGTACTGATTCTGTGAACCTGGGAGTCTTTCTAGCTTCTAATGCCTTCTTCAATTTTTTTGTCAGAGTTCTAATTTTATTTTATTTTTTCTGTATTTTAGGGAAGGGTCTACAGGGTGTTCAGGGTCTCACTACTGGATCACACTCATAGTGATTCTCCTGTTTACAGCCTCTCAAGAGCTGGGATTACAGGCACACACGCCACCATGTCCAGTCTTGATTGCCGTCTCAGTGCATCTCAGGAGCAGGGCCAGCACGGCAGGCCCGGGAATCAAACTCCTGGCCCCCTGCACCTGCTTGCAGGTACTTTAATCTGCTGAGCTATTTGGCTTGGCATATATATATATATATATATATATATATATATTACCTCCTCATGTTGAATCCTAAGCTTTTATTTATTTTTTGAAGCTATTATAAATAGAACTGCCTAATTTCTTTCCCAGAGAAGTCATTATTGATGTTTCAGAATAGCTATTCATCTATTAATGTTGATTTTGTATCCCGAACCTCACATTTGTAAACAACAAAAAAATCACTTCACTTTTATGCACATGATGGAGAATAGTTGACAGATTCCAGAGAGATACATTGTGCTGTGTATTTCCCTGCCTCCTCTGAACCATCTTCACCCTCACAGTGGACAGGTAGCATTTAAGGATTAAAACTATTTTTTAATTAAAATTATTTAAGCCCTCAGCTCTCAGGGCTTCAGGAACCTTCTTCTGTCCGTATGAGGCACAGATACACACGTTCTTAGAAGGATACAGAGCAAAGAAAATTTCAGTACCAAGTCTGTCTGTCTCTCTCTCTCTCTGTCTCTCTCTCTCTCTCTCTCTCTCTCTCTCTCTCTCTCTCTCTCTCCTCCCCCATCCCTGAAAAAGAAATTACATTCTTATGGTTCAAAAATTAGCATTAAACACTATAGCATCAGGGATATAGCTCAGTGGTATAAGTG